TACAGCCCTGCTGCCTCAGCCGATGGACCTCGACCACTCAAGGGCAGACCAACGACGGGGGCTATGCCACAACTGCAATGCCCCTGGGCACTTCGCACGAGACTGCCCCCTCCCAAAGGTCTGCCGAGTGCGCCGCATGCACCCGGAAGACCTTCGAGCACTTGCAGAAGGGCTGAAGAGCCAACTGATGGGGACACCTGAGGGGAACGAGGAGGAGAGGGAGGAAGGGAACCCCTCTGCGGATTTTCAAGAAGGTGACCGGTGAGGGATGTGTCCCGGCCGCCTGCGAGCAATGATACCCAGTGTAAATACAGAGATACGCGTGAGTCTGCGCTGCTGTCCAAATTCCACTGGGTGATTGCTAAGAAACAGAGGAAAATCGCACCCTCAACCAGAAAGAGCACCAAAGCCGCTAGCCTGCCCTCTGAGGTAGCCGTCTCCCCACCTGCCATCTACGTGCTTGCCAAGCAATCCCCCCACTCCCTCAATATGAAGGTGAAGGTGACCGCCCTACCGTCCCTCGCCGCAGTCGCCGTGTCAGCACTGCTAGACTCCGGCATGACCGGGAACTTTGTGAACCCAGACTTCGTCCGGAAGCACGGGCTCGAGACGACCCCGCTCCCCCAACCCATCCCAGTTCGCAATGTGGACAGGACGCCTAACGAAAACGGAGCCATCACAGAGGAACTGGAGGCCTTGTTGACGTTTGGCCAACATACGGAGCGTGCCCACTTCGCCATAGCGAACTTAGGGCAGCAGTCCCTCATCATTGGGCACTCATGGTTGTTACACCACAACCCAGAGGTCGACTGGGCACAGCAGAAGGTCGTCATGTCCCGCTGCCCCTCATCCTGCCAATTGCTGCAAGCAGATGTCAGGCAAGCCCTCGAAGTGGAACCCGGTGACGGAATCTACGCCGCCGTAATCCCACCGGGGTGGGGACACGACCTAAGAGCGACCACAACGCCATCCCAACGCCTGGCGGAGGAAGCCCAAGACACATAGGCGAAGCCGCTGACACTGGAAGAGCTAGTACCCAAGCACTACAGGGACTTCCAGGATGTGTTCTCAAAAGAAGCCTTCGACGTGCTGCCCCTGCGAAAACCCTGGGACCACGCCATTGACCTAACCCCCGATGCCAAGCTACCCAGAGGCAAGACGTTCCCCCTATCCCGGCCAGAACAGAAAGAACTAGACGACTTCCTGCGTGAGAACCTGCGGAACAGGCGCATATGCCCATCGAAGTTGCCAATGGGCGCCCCCATATTCTTCGTCAAGAAGAAGGACAGATCCCTGCGCCTGGTTCAGGACTACCGAAAGCTCAACGAGATAACGGTCAAGAACTCGTACCCCCTCCCACTCATCTCTGACATCCTTGTGCGCCTTCGAAATGCGAAGTATTTCTCAGCACTAGACCTGTGCTGGGGGTTTAACAACGTGCGGATCAAAGACAGCGATGAGTGGAAGGCAGCGTTTGCGACCAACCGGGGCCTGTTTGAACCCATGGTAATGTTCTTTGGACTGTGTAATTCCCCAGCGACCTTCCAAACCATGATGAACGACATTCTTCGGGATTTCATTGACCGAGAAGTCGTCATCTGTTATATGGACGACATCTTAATCTTCACATCCACCCTAGAGGAACACCGGAAGGTTGTGCGGGAAGTGCTGGGAACACTGCGGAAGAGGAAACTCTTCCTCAAACCTGAGAAGTGCAAGTTCGAGCGATGCCGCATCGAGTACCTCGGACTTGTCATCTCCGAAGGCAACGTGGCCATGGACCCGGTGAAAGTCCAAGGAGTTCTCGACTGGCCGACGCCGACAAAGGTGAAAGAAGTGCAGTCCTTCTTAGGCTTCGTAAACTTCTATCACCGCTTCATCAAAGACTTCTCCGAGACAGTGCGCCCGCTCCATGTGCTAACCTGCAAGGCGAAGGTCTGGGAATGGGGGGAGAGCGAAGAAAATGCCTTCAACGCTCTTAAGAAAGCCGTCACCTCTGCCCCCGTCCTCACCTTCCCCGCCGACAGCGGCCGTTACAAACTTGAGTGCGATGCCTCCAACTTCGCCACCGGCGCCGTCCTGTCCCAGCTCCAAGCCAATGGCGAATTCCACCCCGTAGCCTTCATGTCCAAAAGCTTCACTGAGGTGGAATGAAACTATGAAATCTACGATAAGGAAATGCTCGCGATAGTCCGAGCGCTAGAGGAGTGGCGTCACTTCGTAGAAGGAGCGGAAGAAAAGGTCGATATCTACACTGACCACCATAACTTGGGCTATTTCCGCACTGCGCAGCGGCTGAATCGCTGCCAAGCACGATGGTCACTTTTCCTAGCCTGTTTCCACTTCACCCTCATCCACCGCCCAGGGAAGCTCATGGGGAAACCGGACGCCCTCTCACGCCGTGCCGACCACCCGAAAGGGAAGGACGACAACGAAAGCTTGACCCTCTTGCAGCCAGGGTGGTTCGAAACCCATGCGACTGAAGCCGTCACAGTGGAGGGAGAAGAGATGACCATCCTGGAGAGGATACGTGCGGCGAAGGACCACGACGAGAAAGTGGTGAAAGCACTGAAGGAATTAGGAGATGGGACGCTCAGGTCGGATGAATGGAGCAAAGACGGAGAACTGGTCCTCTACCGAGGAAAGGTGTATGTCCCAAAAGACATGCAACTCCGCCATGACCTGGTGCGGCTACACCATAACATGCGGGCGACGGGGCACCCAGGGCGATGGAAAACCCTGGAACTCGTCTCCTGTGACTACTGGTGGCCCCAGATGGCGGAGTACATGGGCCACTACGTAGCGGGGTGCGACGCCTGCAACCGGGTCAAATCGTTCCCTTCACGGAAGGTAGGGAAACTCATGCCGAACAAGATCCCCACCCGCCGCTGGCAGGTAATCTCCATAGACATGATCGGAGGGCTCCCCGAGTCAAAAGGTTACAATGCCATCCTGGTTGTAGTGGACCGCCTCTCCAAGCGCATCCACGCAATCCCCACAGTCATGACAGTGGACTCGGCGGGGATCGCCCGACTTTTCCTTGAACATGTCTGGAAGCACCACAGCCTTCCCGAGGAAATTCTCAGTGACAGAGGGAGCGCCTTCGTCTCCCAGTTCTCCAAAGAACTAGCAGCCCTGCTAGCGGTCAAATTGACCCCCTCGACGCCCTACCACCCACAGACAGATGGACAGACAGAGCGGGTAAACCAAGAGATAGAAGCATACCTCCGAGTGTTTGTCAACCACCACCAAAACGACTGGGCCGACTGGCTCCCGCTAGCGGAGTTCTCCCATAACAACCGCATCCACGCATCCACCCGCCGCACCCCCTTCGAGCTCGACACCGGCCAGCACCCCAGAATGGGGCAGAACCTACATGCACGTCAGAAGTTGAAGCTGCAGATGCATTCACCTCGAGGATGATGAAAATGCAAGAGGAGGCGAAAGCGGCGCTTGAGCATGCAGCAGAGGAGATGGCCCACTACTATGACCGGAATTGGGAAGCGGTGCCTGAGTACAAAGAGGGTGACCAAGTCTGGCTCAGCACCCAAAACTACACCACAGACCGCCCAACCAAGAAGCTGGATCACAAATGGACGGGCCCCTTTAAAATCCTCAAGGTTGTATCCCCCGCCACCGTCAAGCTCCAACTTACGGCACGGCAAAAAGGAGTCCACCCAGTGGTGTCAGTAACAAATGTCCGACCCCACCGCCCAGACGAGATCGCCGAACGACCCGCTGACCCTCGCCCAGGCCCCGAAATCATAGATGGGGGGGAAGAGTACAAAGTTGAGAAGATCCTCGACTCCCGCTGGCGCCACAGGAAACTCTGGTATTTGGTAAAGTTCACAGGCTGGCCAAACTCCGAGAATGAATGGCTCCCCCTTGACAACCTGGCCAATGCGCGCGACTGGATCGAGGAGTTCTACCAAGCGCACCCAGATGCCCCCGGGAGAGAACAAGGAAACCCTCTAGCCACTTCGAGGCGAAGCAGCTTAAGAGGGGGGTGATGTCAGGGCACGCTGCCGCCGCCACCGCCGCCGCCACCTCCTTTTCCTTTTGTCTCATCCCCTCATTCTCTCTTCTTTCCTTCTTCTCTTTTTCTATCTTTATACAGACAACCTCTCTTTCTTTCCTACCCTTGTAGCACGGATGTGTCCGATGCTGAGCACCCTGTAGGGGCACCGCAACGCCGGATGCGCCATGCACTTCTACTTGTACTTCCCCTCCAACACTCGGGATCAACCGCGGAACCACCCGCGGTAACCTGGCTTCATCCAAGGGTGATGTGGCAACCCCACGTGACCCATTCACACATGTATATAAACTAAGCCGAAGCAGGACCAAAGAAGTAACCTTCTTCTCATTTCCTGCTTCAGCCTAAGAAGCCACACAGGGACGTAAGCCCGAGTAAGGGCTATCCACTATATGGTCTCACCGCCCCGCTGCCATCCGGGCCGCTAGCGCCAAGCGTTACGCCGCTACCTCTGCCTTCCTCGAGCTGTCCCTGACAAATAGACACCTTTGCCAGCAGTCTCAAGGCTGCTGTCATTTCGAATGATCACATGCAATGGTGGATTTCAGCATGCAAATACATTGATGCTGTCAGGGCACACACCCTGACTAGCCTGGACCCGGACCCGCATGCTCCACATGCCACATGCTCCAGGCCCGGTTCCTATCCTTCATGTGACTTCTGGGTATCCCAGGAAGTTTTCACCATATTGGGGCCACTGTGGGAAAGTGAGAGTTAACCTTCTTCTCACTTTCTTACCCACAGTAGACTTGTGCCCTGGACAGGGCTGTTCACAGGTTAGACTGTGGGCCATAGAGAGGGGTCATGGGAACCCGGGGTCTGTCCCCTGACAGACACCGTCATTGGGATCGAGTGCTGCATGGTTTTGTGGAGTTACAGGGATGAGGGCATAGTAGGATTTAACACATGTGAGGATGTGTTTGAGTGGCTGGACACCGTTTACGCTAAGTGGACTTCCATTCCAATGGTCCACTTGTATGAGCTCATGCACAAGTGCCATCTGAAGTCCCTTCCAACGGATTTCATTGTCCCTCCAGCATTTGACACATTTCGTCCATCCCTCTCCCCTCTTCCCCTCGATCTTGTGGCCAACTCTGCACAAACTGACAAGCCAGAATCAGATTCTGAAGCTGTCCCAGTTGCATCAACCTCAACTCCTGGACACATCACTGTCGCATCCATACCCAATCCCAAATGCGTCAAATTGGAGACGCCCTCAGCACATCAACATTCTGTTGGTTGTGTGGCCTCCAACACCGATCTGAGTCCCACCACTGCATGCTCTGATGCCAATGCATCGCTGGCTGTGGCTCAACCTCACATCTCTCCCCTTCTTGCCAAATCAACACGCGCATCACCAGCACCGTCCGACATGTCATCAACACCATCCAACACATCATCCAACGTGTCGGTGTAATGGGTCTATCCAACTAGACTCGCGACAGGAAAGAGGGGGGGATAAGGATCTCACTGAGGGTCAGGTCTGAATGGGTATATTGGTCCCATCGAGTCTGGTGCTGATAACTCTACCAAACTATACAGCAGGTCACGGAAGAGTCCGATAGACAAAATAGGAAAGAATATCACATGACAATAAGAAAATGGAAACATCGGCCTCTAGACATCGGAAATGGAATCAGAAAAATTAGGAAAAATAGGAAATGTGTGTAAAGAGTGTGAGGGGATATAGGCTACATGTGATGGATGTGAGGTGCTTGCTGAGGGTGGTAGAATCGCGGGATTTGGCTCGTTTAGGGTACACCAGCAAATCCCCGTTACATCGGCAACATTGAAACGTTGTTGTTGTCATCGCCAAGGCCAATCATCTGTCAAGCCAGTACATCGGTTATCCAGAAATCATGCGTGACAGATGTGAATTGTGTCATATCCGTGCATACCCGATCCCGACCCGACTTCCGGACCTCCTCCTTCCCCACCTCCGGAATCCTACCCTACCGCTGTCCGTTCCGATATTCACCTTCGGTCCTGGCACCATACCACCCTTCACCGCCCATGCCACCCCCACTCCTCCGTCACTCTCCTTTCCTATCTCCGTCCGCTCTGATAACCACCTCAGACCGAACACCACCCCTCTCGCCACCCTCCTCCTCCTACTCCTCCGCTCTACTCCCGTCCGCTCCGATACCCACCTTCAGACCTGACACCTCTCCTCTCTTCCTTCCCCTCTCTTCCCTCTGGTCCTCTTCCACCAACCTCCCACCAAGTTACGACCTCCCGCTGCTGACCCATACTTCGTACTCGGGCACCGCTCGTACCTTGCTCCGAGCCTCCGTCATAGTCCCTACCTCGGACTTTGACTCCACCTCGGTCTTAGTCCATTGCATTGGTGACCTCATACTACGTAAACACCATTGCCAATCTTCCTTGGACTTTCAACCCCGCCTCCGTAAGCTCCGCAACCTCCGAGCTTCGTGGATCATCTTCGGCACTTTTGCCGCTTGTAATGTATTTCTTGCATTTCTCCCTCATCCCTATTTGGACTGCTGCTTCTCCCCAGTAGTCATCATCCCCACTTCCCCTCATCCTCCTGCCCCTCTGGGCCTTGCCCTCCTTACCTCCTTTCGGATGTATCATAAGTTCTGCCTTATGACCTTTGGTACCGCTCCGCTTTTGCCATCCCTTTGTTCCCGTTTGGACGCCTTTGTTCCGATTCGGTTTCCCTTTGCTTCCTTGTGCTTTTGCCCCCTCCATTATATATATTGGTGCTTGTACATACTCGTAGCGGGCTCAGTCCGAAATCGACCTGAAATGCCCCCTAGAGACTTCCTGCTCGCCTACTGTGAAATTAAGGACCAAATGGACAAACAGCAATGGCACAGCGCTCCGCTTGAGTCGCTGAGGCCAAGGTCCCTCCACGCTAAGTCTCCGATTCCACTCCGGAGTCGTCAGAATCCGCCCGTTCTAACAGTATGGGAATGTGGTGGAAGGTTGTAACTTGGCAGAGGTTTGGCAGAAGAGGGTCAGAGGGAGGAGAGTGATGAGAGGAGTGGAGGAGGATTGGTGTTAGGTCCGAAGGTGAATATCGAAGCAGACAGAGGTAGGGTAGGAGAGTGATGGAAGGGTGGAGGTGACATGAGGAGTGAGGGGGAGTAAGAGGAGGGTGGTGAGAGGAGTGATGTTCAGTCCGAAGGTGAATATCGGAGCGGACGGAGATAGGGTAGGACTCCAGAGGTGATGAAGATGGATGTCCAGGAGTCGGGTCAGGATCAGGTATGTACGGATATGACAGTACAGGAAACTATGTACAGAGTGTATATATAATAATACAGGAGGGGAGTCAGAGGCAAATAGAACCCAAAGGGAACAAAGGGAACTGGAGGGAGACAAAGGGGGACTGGATGAGGGAACAACCCCCTCAGGACCTTTTTTTTCTTTAGTTGAAATGTTACGTTTTAACTTTCTATCACTCAATCATTCTTTTTGGTAATGCAAATCCATTGTGCATAGTTTTCTCAATAATGACTGTGCAGAATATGGTGAAACTTATGCAGAAATCACTTCACCCATGTATCCCAGGAAGTTAATCCTTTGTGTTTTTGTTTTTTTTTTATCATTTACACATTATGTGTACATGCTCATCCAGCCAGCTCATTCCGCCTAGTGCCTAACTCCAAGTGCTCAATCGCCCATGATGGCTGGCTAAAGCCCTCCCCCTCACATTGTTCGGTGAAGTGTGCAAGCATCCCCAGTTAGAATTGACGTTCAACTAACTGTTTCTCTGTACACAGTTGTCAGGGACAGCTCCGAAAGCGGCGAGGTCCCGGCGTGCAGGACTCAGTGGGACGAGTAGCAGCTGTGCATAGCGGCGATCTCGTCGCGGGGTGAGCGTCCCCAACCACTTAGCCTGAAGTGGGAATGTGAGTTATTATTAAAAGGGAAGGCTACACTACTTGCCTGAAGCGGGAATGTGAGAAGAAGGCTACTTCTTCGGTTCCCACTCCAGCTGTTATTATATACATGCGGGATCGGTCACGTGGGGCGTGCCACGTCACCCTCGCACACAGCCACGGCTCTCCGGGTGCCTCCGCAGGAGATCCCGAGAGGGCCCGCTGTGGGTGCGGGGTAAGTGCGGCTGTCAGAGACCAGATTCGAGACGAGGGAGAGTCTCCGTGATGGAGGGCTTTGGCCTCAGCGACTTCTGCCAAGAGCGCTGTGCCTAGTGACACGTCCATGCCCTAACTTACTGACTGGCAATCAGAACCGAAGGGGGGGTAACTCTAGTTGATTTTATTACTGGGGTGTAACCTATGTACAAGTGGGATATATATATGGTTACAGCGAAGACGGGTCCGCAATTGGTGGAGCCGAACGGAGCGGAGCTAACGGGGTTTAAACATTAGCCGACTGAATATTACCGACGAGTCGGGTCGTGGGGTTAGCGGAAAGGCAGGCGATAACCCAGAAACAGAAAGGAGGGATAGGCCCGAAGGTGGGCTCTGCAGGGCAGGTGAGTGTATTGTCCAGCGGAGGCGGGAGTGCGCTAGCAGACATCGGAGCTGTCCGGAAGTCTTCGGGGCTCCGTACTTAGGGAGGCATAGGTAATAAATTGAAATGAGGGGGTGGTGACCATCGAGGGGTACCGAGAGGATTGCGGAATACGGGAGCTCCGAGGTTAGTGAGGGAGGAGCGGAGTTAGACCGGAGGGATCGGAGGAACCGGAAGTCGATGGCCGGGGATGGATATGACAGTATCCCCTTCTTAGGCCTGAACCCTTGAAGGCCCAGAATTAGTAAGATGAGGGGAGCTGCACTTACAGAAAGAAAAGCAAATGAGGAAATGAAAATGAAAACGGAAGTGAGGAGTGGAGGGGAAAGGAGAAATGGGAGAGGAGTCGGGGTTCCTAAGGAGCTTCGGGTCCAGGCTTCGCTGGATACCGAGAGTGGAACGCTTCGACGAGGTCGGAGGCGTGATCGAGTTCGCCGGCAAGGAGCCATTGTGTCTCCTCGTCGGTCCCTTCATAGCCTAGCCACTTGACCAAGTAGAGCAACTTGTTGCGTCTACGTCAGTCGATCTTGGAGTCGAGTATCTCCTCGATCTTGAACTCCATCTCGCCTTCGATTTCTATGGGAGGCGGAGGTGGCTGGTGGTGGTTTGGAATGGTGTTCGGGACGGAGGGTTTGATCTGCGAGACATGGAATACCGGGTGAATGGCTCGCATGTTTTCCGGCAGGCAGAGAGTGAGGGAGTGAGTTCCAATGCGGGCGATGATCTCGAATGGGCCGAGGTTTTTTTCGGAGAGCTTTTTGGAAGGTCGGGTGGAGCGGAAGTACTTGGCCTTTACATAGACCGAGGTTCCTACTTCGAAAGCTGGGGCAGGGCTCTGACGGAGTCTGCCGGGCCTGTTAGAGATGGGCGGAAACGGACGACTCCGGAGTGGAATCGGAGACTTAGCGTGGAGGGACCTTGGCCTCAGCGACTCAAGCGGAGCGCTGTGCCATTGCTGTTTGTCCATTTGGTCCTTAATTTCACAGTAGGTGAGCAGGAAGTCTCTTGGGGGCATTTCAGGTCGATTTCGGACTGAAACCAGATGAGTATGTACAAGCGCCGATATATATAAGGAAGGGGCAAAAGCACAAGGAGAAACAAAGGGTGACCGAATCGGAACGAAGACGTCCGAACGGGAACAAAGGGTTAGAGGGAGCGGAGCGGTACCGAAGGTCATAGGGTAAGACCTGTGATACATCCGAAAGGAGGTAGAGTGGGCGAGGCCCAGAGGGGCAGGAGGATGAGGGGAAGTGGGGGTGATGACTAACTGGCTAGAATAGAAGGAAGCAGTAGTCCAAATAGGGATGAGGGGGAATTGCGAGAAATACATTACAAACGGCGAGAGTGCCGGAGGCGGTCCGCGAAGCTCGGGGGTTGCGGAGCTTACGGAGGTTACGGAGGCGGGGTTGGAAGTCCGAGGAATATTGGCAATGGTGTTTACATAGTATGAGGTCACCAATGCAATGGACTAAGACCGAGGTGGAGTCAAAGTCCGAGGTATGGACTATGACGGAGGCTCGGAGTAAGGTACGAACGGTGTCCGAGTGTGAAGTACGGAACAGCGGTGGATGGTCGTAACTTGGCGGAAGGGTGGCGGAGGAGTGACGGAGGAAGGAGAGAGGGGACAGGTAAGGAAGAGTAGTCAGGTCCGAAGGTGGATATCGGAACGGACGGAGAAAGCGTAGGGGATGACGGGAGGGTGGAGGTGTGGTGAGGGGGGAGTGGAGTTGTAGGAAGGGTGGCGAGTAGGGCGATGTTCGGTCCGAGATGAGTATCGGAACGGACGGAGAAGGGGTCGGAGAGGTAAGAGGAGGGGTGTGTTGCCAAGACCGAAGGTGAGTATCGGAAAGGCAGCGGTAGGTTATGACTCCGGAGGTGAAGAGGGTGGAGGTCCGGAAGTCGGGTCGGGGT